ATTTATTTATTTATTTATTTATTTATTTATTTATTTATCTGTAAAATATTCTTGTGCATTCAACAGTGACCAGAACCCGGCATTATTTCTATTGGATAACCAGTTTGAAATGCGCGTACGCATATTGAAACTTTAAGGATATAATATCAGAGGGACTCTTTCTGAAATTTGCAAGGATGTCTCCCTTGAAGAACCTGTATTCGAGCAAGCAACGAACGTCCTTACCCTTAAAAAATTTCCTCTGACGTTTACTTATTTCTTCTGCTTAAAAAATTTCTTCCTGTAGCTTTTTTTCAGGTCGAAAGCAAGGCATTCGTTCGCAACACGGCACTGCTCGGGCTTTTGAGTTGTTACATGCCGAGCTTTGCACGTTGGCTGATTGCCAACCGCTCAAAAAGTTTTTAGACATTTTGGACTTTCGCATTGGATCCGGTACTTTTTCCGGACTTCTGCCTGTATTTGTGTCTTTGATTGTGTTAGCTGTCTTTCGTGATATGGCAAGGACATTTGGTAAGCAGTTTTATTTTGCTTCGTTTATTGTTTATTAGTTCTTTTTCTTATCATAGCCTACAACGTGAGTTTTAATTCACAAGCTAACTTTGCTGAACCATTTTGCCGTCATTCATTTCGTTTATTTGTTTGGTGGTTTTCTCCACTGCTTAGTTTTATTGAGGATTTAAGCCAAAAGATTTTTACTGCCAAGGCTGTTTATACTTAACATCATGATTATATCTTACTTTTTTTATGTACATATTTAAATTCGTAATATTGAAAGTTTCAGCTTTAGTTAAAGGAAATTCGCAGTAACTTGTAAGCATATATCTTCCGCTTCCTCTTTTATGGTGGGGTATTCAGCAAAGAAAGTCTGCATGTAAAATAGCGTTTCCTTGTTATTATTAAGTTGTGGTGCAAGAAATGGCTCACATATTTTTCCTTTTTAAGTACTGAATGCCTGAGCAACTGGTTTTTTTTTTTGTTATGTACCTGAAATGTGTTGTAAGAAGTTTTTTGCACTGGTAATGCTTTTATCTGCTTATTTCAAAAAATAGCTTGTAGCTGACTGGAACTTTTGTGATGTGAATATACTTGTTGGTAGCATATTCTATGTTTTCTGCAAGCGACAAAGTTCATAAAGGAGGAAATAAGAGACTTAAGTTATTATTTCTTTTTTTACTTACCATATTTGTATGATCTTCCAACAAGTTTCTGTTTATTTGAGTGTTTGTTTGGTTCTATTGGCAATAAGAACTGCTCTGAAGTGATAACTAAGAGGTACTTTCACTTTCTAGAAAGTACGCTGGAATTATTGAACTTCTGTATTTTTGGTTCTTAGCGAAATACGTCCTAAGCTGGTTTTAGATTCACAAAAATGATGTTTTTTGAAAGCCAGCAGATAAAAGCAGTACTAGTGAAAGAAAAACTCCTTACAACAACATTTCAAGTACATAACAAAGAAAAGGGTTTTTTTGTTCTAATCGAAAAAGCTGAATATTGGAAAGATTATGAGAGTTCAGTTTTTTAATGAAGCTGCTATCGTTTCGTGTATTTATTACTACCTGATGGAGGTCTTCTCGTCAGATGTCATTTTTATATCGATGTTTGCGAACAGCTTCAACTTTTCGACGACCGATGGAGAGAATACGCAGTAGCAGTTAATGTATTTTCTTTAACAAAGTTTTTGAGTATTAATGTATATACTAACGTTTCCTCTTCCCTCCTTCCATTTATAACTTGTGTGTTAAACTCAGGGTTCCATTAGTAGCAATAGTGCTTCCAGAAGTAATGAGGTTTAATAGTGCTAAATTCAAACAAGTTGTTTTCAATTAGACCAGTGACTCTAGATTGAATACTCCAGAAGTTGGAGAGATGAATTACCCTGCTGGTGAGTGTATGCTGCGCGTTCATGAAAAACTCAGACGTCTCAAAACTTTTGCTTCTCAAAAATTTTTGCTATCTAATATAGGATTCTTGAAGCAGAGTTAAAAAACTGAATTAGAACACTTGAAAAGAGTCAGTGGATTTATTTAAGGAATGGTCTTTATTTCTGCAACCTGTCAATTATTGTCACTTTTTCAGTTATGGATTTTATAGCAAATTATTGTATGGTTCTTTAATTTTGTTCTCGATATGTTTGTTCAGTTAGTGTTTCTACAAAATGCTTTAAGTGAATCGCGGACGACCGACTTTCCTTCTTGTTTTGCAGTTTCAACTTTTTGTTATTTTAACCTTCAGGATACCTTATATTTTTAATGGATGATGACGACATAGGTTCGGGTTGTTCAACCGTTTCACATAATTCAAATATTGATGATGCTGAATATTATGACGGTCCACCTCTCTCTCCTCGTTCAGAATTGTATCGTCTCAAATACAACCGATTAAAAGAGAAATTTGATTACATTCGTTTGGTGATTTTTTGGCCGCTTTTATGTACTTGCTCTCAAAACATTTATTCGTTTCTTGCTGATATAAAATTAAGTATGCAAGTTTTGACTTGTTTCTAATTGCTGGTTTGGGCTCTTGTAAGAAAGTATTTTTTGATTTCAGTCAAATAATCGCCTTCGGAATCGGTTATATCATGTAAAAAAAGAGATCAATCGTTTAAAACGTCTAAAGCGGCAAGTTTTTTTTATGCAGTTGATAACAGTTTAGGTGGTAATGGGCTTAATTATTGTAATTTAGTTTTTAAATTCTTTTTTTCTGCAAGGACTCAAGATGACATTTTGCTTTTTTTTTCATTTTTGTTGTTCGTATTTCTTTCTCTCTTTATTTATACTATTTTTATCGTTTAGAGGCAACTATTATCACACCCCTCAATAATTGTTTTTTGTTCTTTCATTTGTTTAAATTATTTAGGATCCTTTGTCATCGGCTGATGCAACGGGCAGACAAGTACATGGAGGCTCATCTAGAAATTCCTGATATAGTTATGACTCCCTCAAGTACTGAAAAGACTAATGTCGATTCAGCAACAAAACCGGGTAACTCGAAAAGACGCAAATTTGTTGAGGGCAAACGGGTTGCTCCAGTTTCCGAAGTATGAGTGTTGTTTACAAACGTATTATTTATATAATTTGCTTGTTTTTTAGCAACATATGAAATCCTAGTTTTTTGCTATATTTGAAGATTCTTGTGTCTCCCTCCTGAATTATTGAATGTTCTTATCATATTGGTTCATTATTTTACAAGGGTATAGAGTTCAAAGTTGATTTCTAATTTCAGGTAGAAGAAATCATGTCAATGGAACAAAAGGCGAGGAGTAGTGTTATTTCAATTATTGATTCTGTAATCACTGAATCTCACGAAGAAAGAATGCGAGCCAATGCAGCGACAGGTTCAACTGATCAGAAACCATTCGACCCTAAGATTGATATGGTATGTTATCACTAGCAAACTTAACTGCTGTTCTAGCATAGTTGATATAAACCGTTTTTTTCAGTCGGACACTAGGACTGAAATGATGTTACGCCCATCTTCAATTGATCATTTGCTACCTCAAGATCCAGATTCAGACCCTGCCGATGTATTGAATGAGTTTGGAGAAACTCTTGACAAAAATTTTATGGCGGAAGACTAATTTTTAGAGATATCATCTGCAGGGATTTCGTACGCGAATAGTCTTGGTCTATCGCGATATGCTTATTTACAACATCTGATGTAGATGATTAGTTTTTTCGACGTTACATTCTTTACTGTTAGTTAATTGTCGGGGGTACGCGAGGAATACTGCAAGGATTCTTTTAGCGTTTATCTTGAGATATTTCAGGTAAGTTACATATTGTTTTATATGAAGGAAGAATTTCTCACTTTTAACTTTTTTGGCAAGATTCTGGTTCCGTTATAGCGTAGAATCTTTCACATATCCTGGAAGCATGGTGTGATATGCTGCGGGTAATCCAATTGCCACTGAGAGGGAGTTATGGGTTAAATTCTTCTCATTTGTTTTTTAGTTTTCGCCCTTTGCATACTTTAATTTAAGTGTATTGGAGATGTTACGTGACTCTTCCGCTGTTTTTTATTTTATGTGTGTAACTGTCTTAGTTTACGGAGAAAGTACTGCTGCTTATGATCTCCCAGTTGATCTCGTAACTGATCACGAAACATATTTATGATGCGCACAATAAAACTGTAACAGGGGTGAAAATGTAATTACAGATACGAAACCTTGGGTTAACAATTCTTTCCAGTAGTACTTGAACGCGTTACTTGTCATACCAACATTCAGAGTATAAATACGTATCTTGCGATGCGACGGAAGTAAAATCATGTGTAAAAAGAAGGGTGGGCTGAAAACTGAAAAAGAAACTATTTCAAAGAAGGCTGGAATTTTTGTTCGAAGTTGGGGATCTGGCAACAAGCACCTGGAAGTTCTTGCATTATTCTTTGCATGCTTTTTCAGCCTACTTGGATGTCAAAAACTGGAGTAAAATAAGTATCTGTAATCAATGCCAATAAAATATTTCGTGCTTTAAATGTTTGTTGTTTTGAAACTTCCATCTTCGTATGACTATCACGAACTTGCTTCCTCCAAGTTTCCCAGTTTGGCTTTTATATTAGTTAGCGTAGATACATTTCCGCTATATCATATGGCTTTCTTTACTTCGTTATCCTTGTCATTAATCATTTTTTTAGTGGTTGGTTATGACTTAGTTACTGTGTTCGCTAATTTTTCCTGACATGTTTCATGTAATGCAGAGAGTTCTGCAGTCTGGACGATCGTTTTTCACGTCTTTTGTGAGAATGGTTGAAGTTGTACCCGTTGGAGCGCTAAGTGACAATTATATGTATATTCTTGTAGATGAGAAAACTAGAAAAGCCGCGGTTGTTGATCCTGTGGATGTCAAAGCTGTAAGCTGTCCAGCAAGTTCCTAATTAGAGCACAGCTGCTTTATATTTGAGAAATGCATTAAAAGATGGCTTTTGTTGCAGTAGCACTCTAATTATGGTAACGAAAATAAAATCCCAGGTTATCTGCACTAAAATATAAAGTCACTGTAGTTTTACAGAACAAATAATGTTGCGTTCCTGCTGAGTGGAATTCATGCAATTTAGAGTGTGGTAGTATCCTGTAAAACAGTCTAAATGAATTTTTTTCAGATCAAAGCGGCTGTAAACTCTTTAAAGGTTCAATTAGAGTGCGCTTTAGTCACCCATCACCATTGGTTTGTTTCTGCAAGTAGTATCTCATATTTAATAACTGAGTTATAACATCGGAATCTGTAGTAATTGTATTTATTACAAATCGCCTGGATGATTGTTACACTCTAAACAAAGCTCCTGCACTTTTATCAAAGGTGTAAGCTGGGCAGCATGTCTTTGGTCATAGCTAGGGATTTATCAGTTGTCTCTCGACCCAACTGCCAGTTTACTGTTTTGAATTTCAGGGACCATGCAGGCGGAACAAAAGAGCTACAAGGTCTTTATGGTGGGAAATTAAAGATTTACGGCGGCGATGACCGGATTGAGTCGCTCACTAATAAAGTCGCTGACAACCAGAAACTTCAGGTTATCTACGCGAATATTTTTCCGACCTTTTAATTCTTTCTCCCATATTCTGACCAGCTGAAGTTAGCAAAATACGGCTTTTGTAAAACTCTATTACACGTTAACAAGGCTCCGTCTGAAATTCAAAAAATGTTCATACGTACCAAGTTTATCGTCTTTTACCTTGGCTTTAGTTTACAAGTGCAGCCTAGTTAATAGTTAACAGTAAATTTCGTTATTATTTTGAAGATTGGGGACTTGGATATCTTGTGCATGCACACTCCATGTCATACAACTGGGCACATTTGTTACTACGTAACTGACAAGGCCGGAAAAAGCATTGTATTTACAGGAGATACGCTGTTTATTGCAGGTAGGGCTCCCTTTTGGTAAAAAATTTGAAGATGTAGTGAAGCGATTCTGGTGCAAGATCATGGTACCTAGAGACTGACCGTGTAGTTGTTTGAGGCCGGAGCTTCATTCGCCAGAAGCGAATAATTTATCATTTATGTTTCGTTAACAAATGCAATTATAACCCAGATTTCTAGGCTGTGGCAGATTTTTTGAGGGAAATGCGGAACAGATGGATCGTGCCCTGAATGAAAAACTTGGGAAGCTGCCACCTCACACGGTAATGGAAAAATGAATTTGTTCTGTGGAAACACCTTTCCGAACAATGGACAGTTC